TTGACATAGGAAAACTAACGTGGACATTTTTCGCGTACTTTTGGTTTGTTTTCGCGGAGTTTTAGTTGTTATGAGCTTTCGTTCGCGTAAATAGTTTGTTACTCCTTTGCTCGGAGATTTAAGAAGTTTCGGAGTTTTTATTTTAGCGAAATGTTGTGGTTCATTTGACAAGTTTAATACGTATTTTCTACGGAGTTTGGACTCTAGTCTCTTTTTTCGTAAATGGATTTTTTACACCTGCGAACACATTACAATGACCCAGCCGGGTCTCGAACCCAGACCTCTCTATCTGGAATCGAACACACGTAGTGCCAGGCCTTCGCGTCTGTCACCTTGGATTTATGCATAATTACTAAGATATGTCATAAATAAGATTTCAGCAAGGCAAAATAGGATAGGGAGATTTGAAAAAGAAAAGAGCATCAACTAAAATGAATTGCAATAAAAGGCTGAAGTCAAATCAGGCTAATTGTATTTTGCACCACTTCTATTTGTCACTGCTCAATTGCTCACGCTCAGTTTTTCAAAGACGATTCTCGTCAAAGCACCCTGCACTAGTCAAACACCGCAGGTACAGCACTTTTCTCTTTGTGCTATTTTATTATACATTAGGACTATTGACATCATCTGTGATTCGACGCAAAAACGTAAAAGCTTATTTATGGAGTATTATAAGTTCCTATATCCAATTTAAGAAGGTTTAGTACCTTTTCCATGAACAAACTATAAAGTGGTTGTTTGAAACACTCGTGTTGCGTTTTTAAAGTTGTACTAAGCTGCTTAGTTTTTGAAAATATGTACACAGATTTCTTTGTCGTCAAGATAATTTTATATTCTCTTGATGCCGTCAACGTCCTCGTCGTCTTTAAAGTAACTTGTAAATGAAGTTGATTTGCATTTTTATAACGAAAATCATGCATGGGTACTGTTTACTTGCCGCTCATTCAAATCAATAAAACTAAATTGGTTTGTTTCGTAACACCTTTGCGGTTTTTCAATTCTCTACTTAAAGTTTCCTCGTTTCTTAAAATATTTGTTTTAGCATTGGCTTGAGACGTGGTTCAAACAATTATGAAGTCCTTTTTTTTCCGCAACTGCTATTTCCTCAGCCGTGATCATGTCATCTACAAATAAAGGAGGACACTTCGAAAAGAAATGAATTCTAAATTTTGTGGGGAGATTTAATTTATGCACGACCCTCAATTAATGAATGGTTTTGAAACAATTGCTAAAATTCGTCGCTTTAGTTCTATTTTGTGCCACTAATGATTTGTTTTATACCGTTATTAAGGGCTAAACTGATTAATGCCGAGCACACATAAAAGTGAAAGTAATTTTCACCTACCAGCAAATGAAAGCTGTCGTAACTCGCTACACTAAAGCTTGACCTGCTTATGGCCTGTATAATTTTTAGCCTTTTTATGTATATATAATTGCGTTGAAAATCTAGAGCAAACTTCACCATAGTTTGACGTTCTGAAACTTTTACAAGTTGCCTGTTTATCACTGACAATTGGTTGGTGTTTGAAAAAGAAACAGGAGACCTTTGGATGTAAACAACCTTGTTTTCCCAACTTTCAACACTGCAGTTGCTCATTCAGAAAAGTGTAGAAAATGAAAGCCAAAGTTGGAGGAAAAATATCTGCTAAAAAAAAGCTGTTCTCTTAAAAAGTTTCTCTTAACTGGTGTACTACCCTTGGTTTCTTCATTTAAAGACTTCAGTTTCCATGTAGGAGGAGCTTTCATGTAAGGGAAAGCATGAGTACGTGCTCCTTATCCCAGTCAAAGTTGGTCTAAGAGGATCTAACACAGACAGGACTTAAACAGTAGCTAGTACGAAAAGAACATGCTCATATGTCAATACAAATTAAAAGCAAAATATATCTCAAAATTTCGGACTGAATTTTGACTTGTTGGTATATATTGTGCTTATAATACAAAATACCCTGGCTCCGTTTACACTTTTGTGTTCGATTACGAAGATACAGCTTTTGTACGTTAAATACCACTCCCTCGAGAGGGGACTAAACAGGGAATTGGAGACGGGTGGGGTGGGAGGCTCGAGGACCGGGAGAATTTGAAATAAAAGAGGCTCTAGATAACAAGGGTCGTGATACCAGGGGCTAAGATAGCAAATATCTGGCGGGATAAGAGGAAGGTTTTGCGTAAATAGAAGTGGAGTAAGTTCCTCAGTACACAACACAATAAAGGACGAGGAAAGTCTGTATTGAGCCAAGTGATCCACCTAGTAGGTATTATCGCAGTAATATTACTCCTCCCTGCCCCTCCCCCTCCCCTTCCCCCTTGTCAATCCATTGCACTTCATTAGGCTTCCCTGACTGCTCGCTGCCACTCCTGGATGGGGAGAGGCACTTCGAGAGTGAAGAGTTTCGCCCAGGAACACAACACATTGACCCGGCCAGGTCTTTAACCCAGACTTCTTGACCCAGAATCTAGCGTATTAACCGGCATCAACGTCTTCCAGAAATAAAGTGCAAAGTGTTATGCATTTTGTTACCTATTTGACAGGATAAAAGATGAGCTGTTCTTTTTACTTTTTGTAACAGCAACAAATTTCTTTGATAATTCCTTTCACAGACTCCCTCACCTCTGGAATCTTCCAACAATACAGAATGGGATTCAACGCGGAGTTCATATAGATCAGCAAAACTGCAAACCAACTGGCGGCGAGAGATGTCGCGCTGATTCCTATTAGAATCTTAGCAATAAGTGATAACATGAAAGGAAGGTAACACACCTGGAGGGACGCATACACCTACAGTGCAGTGGACACGGATTTCTTGTATCGATTTATGTTGAAAGCATTCTGGGATGCTTCTTCTTCAGATCCATAGTTCTGTACTCGACTATGCAGCTGTCCTAAAGTATGGAAGATGATGATGTACGAAACAGTGGAGACTCCGACACACATGATGATGCCAAGGATCTGGAAATATACTGAAAAATGACGGGCTCGTGAGGATTGATATGAGACGCACGCGGAAAATTGTGGCAACTTCTTTGTAATGCATTTTTAGGCGAATGACGCGAGCACTCGGTCTACACTGATAAGTGTGAGGGTCTGCAAAGAGACGCCCACCGACATAACGCCGAGGATATTAGCCATAATTGCAAAAATCCGACATGGTTTTGGGAACTCCAGTCCTACCACAAGTCTTTTAACAAACACTGGCTGTACAAATAGTCCAGCTAATAAATCTGACACGGCTAGACTGAAGTACAGAGCTTTAGATGCGGTATGCAGTCGAAAAGTTCGTTTCAGGGCGAGCAAAATTACGATATTTCCGAATATTTTCACGAGAGATAGACCTGAGATTATGGTCGCGTTAACAAAAACTGAAGCTTTGACGAATACTGGTAGTTGGTGTGACTGTGAGTCGCACCAGTCTCGCAACTGTGGTTGTACTGTGCTAAAACGCTGGCTGATGGTAGAGTTTTCGATCTGTGAAATGAAGCGCTCCGCCTTTAGCTGCGTGATAGTCAAGCTTAAACATTATTTCGGTAAAGCCTCTTGTGTTCACTTGACTGAGAAAGATAACAATATGGCGCGTGTAATTAGCAAACTAAGAAAAGCTCTTGATTACCCATTCACCATCGGCTTATTATTAGGCGCACCAGACGGCCGTCATGGTGTCATAAAATCCAAATTTGAATTAAAAGTTATTTAAATGTCTTCCACAATTACTGGCATCTTTATTTGAACATCGTTATCATCTGAACACTTGAAAACAATTTGCCAAAGGAATACAATGAAAACTCCATGAGCCGTGAAATCATATTTATTCTCGCACGAACAGAAAATAAATTTTCAGTACAAATTGTATGTTTTTTTAAATTTTTTTTTGCTTTTTCTACTGAAATTTTACTGCAAGTTCCTTTGCATGATGTTTTCGTTTCCCACCAACAAATGTTATTTATTCAAAACATGAGTATTTATTTCATCTGAAGTCAGCTTATGACGAGTATAAGTTAGCACTAGCCTATTGCTTAATGGGCTATTGACTTTAGTCGTATTTTTTGGTATGTGCTTGCATACATCTTTAGCTTCCAAGTGTTTCATCATATTCTTATTTCGATCTTTTGGTTTTTAACTAAATTTCACATTTGTGTTAATTATCCACTTTGTTGCCGATGTCTCCTGTTTAAAATTCTGTCCGTCAAACCCCCATCCCCAGCGTTTTTTTGAACCGTAGCTAGGTCTAGCCCTTCCCTCCCGAATTTCGCTCACCCCTCCTTGAGCACCAGGGCAGCCCTCCTCCCAGGGCCCAGTTGTTCAAAGAGTGGATAACACTATCCAACGGATAAATCACTATCCATCGCATAACTGTTAAGAAAACGTACTGCGCTATCCACCGTATAGCGATTTATAGTGGATACAACCGGGGGCAGACTGGAAACAATAGCGAGGAGATCTGGGTACTAAAAGGAAACTTTCAACCCGAGAACGAGGCTCATAGACCCAAAATGGCGGCCATGCTTCAACCGGGAATGCTAAGTCATCGTGAACAAACCATGGCTTCTGACGATTATCCAGACTGGCTAACAGCAGAACATAGAACAGGAGTAAGATAAATTGTTATTTTTTATAAAAGAGGACATTTTCTGTTGAATAGCTTCTCATTTATGGTCTTTTTCAGACAACAATAATGGCTGTTGAGTTCAATGGCGGCGTGGTGATAGGTGCTGATTCACGAACAACAACTGGGTAGGTGAACCGTTGCTCTTAGTCATCAAGTAGATGTATGGAAAGGGAGATAAATTTTCTAAGTCATACGAGAAACGTTGACTTGATTCGAACGATTAGCGTATGGCCAAAGTCCTCATTTAAAAAGATGGCGAACGCTCCAAACGGTGTTTTTCAATGGCCATAAAAGTTACTACTTTATTCGTGATTGTTGCACTCTACTGATGAAGACTTGAGCTGTATTCAAAGATCAGGTTGTCCAGTTTTTTATTTGTTCTCTGTTCTAGCCTCCATAAGTTGTATTTTGAATTAGGAGAGAGATTTGATGTTGTGTAAAGAAAAGATTGCTTAGTTCGATTCAGAAGGCTGCTTCT